AGCCCCTCGTCCTGCTGGTGTTCTGAGGAATTTGTTCTGAGACAGTTTTGGCATGTAGATTTTGGATGCCAGAGCCAAGCTGTTGTGTTTTAATTAGTTTCACCTCCAACAAGCCTCGTGGCCTTGGGCACGTCATGTAGCATTGCTAAGCCTCTGGCTTCTTCATGTTTAGAAGGGGTCAATGACATTTAACAGATGGTGCCATCAAGAAGCCCAAGAGAGACAAACAGACACAAAGCACCGGGCACAGCGCCCCCTCTCCCACTGAGCCTTTCAGAGTCACAGGGGAGGTTATCCACATCCCGTGAGGGCTGGCCGGAAAAGCATCCATCCTACTGAAAACCACTCTTGGAGATGAGGTCGCTAGCCTCTTTTCTGACTTCACCCAAGTTTCAGAACTTAGCATGTGTGTAGTCCCATCTACTTAAACCTGAATATTTCCTTCTAAGGGCTGTCACCCGGCTGTGTTTGTTTGCGGTCAGTCCCAATAGATGACATTTGCCAAATGAATGAGGGAGAGAAAGAAAATATTGAGATAGAAAAGGTCACAGAAAATAAACAAAAGCAGAAATGAGGCCAGGTCAGAGAGCTGGGCATGGCTGTCCTGAGGTCGCCTCAGCTTTACCTCGTAGGAAGAACGTGGCCTCAGGCAAGTGAAATAACCTCCCTGGGTCTCAGGGGCTCCATTTGAAAAATAAAGATAAGGATGCCTTATCTCACAAAGCTGTGCTGAAGAACGAAGAGAGATTATATATATTAAGCGCTTAGCATAGAACTCAGGACAGGGTAGAAACTCAATGAGAAAAATAAAAACAAAGCTAAGTGTTCTTTTTGGAGCTAGGGGGTAAAAATAGATGCTGTTATTCTCAAATCCAATTCTCTGATTTCTACATTGAAAACAGGATATAATAATCCTTCTGAGGAAATGCCAGAAAAAAGAATATACACAGGGTGTCATGCCCTACAGCGGACTTCAGATATGCCCAGTGAGTGGTAGAAGATGTAGCTTTGTTTTGTTTTATTTTTTAATCCAAGTATAGTTAATTTACAATGTTGTGTTAGTTTCTGGTGTACAGCATAGTGATTCAGATATATA